GAGCAGGGGCTGCACTAGAGTAATCAGGAATCTGCTAGAACCAGTTAAGGCAGGCAGGCTAATTAGGACACCTGGAGCCAATTAAGAAGAAGTTGCTAGAATCAATTAAGGCAGGCTAATCAGGGCACCTGGGTTTTAAAAGGAGCTCACTTCAGTTTGTGGTGCAAGTGGGAGGAGCTGGGAGCAAGAGGCACAAGGAGCTGAGAGTGTGCTACTGGAGGACTGAGGAGCACAAGCGTTATCAGACACCAGGAGAAAGGTCCTGTGGTGAGACTAAGGAAAATGTTTGGAAGAGGCCATGGGGAAGTAGCCCAGGGAGTTGTAGCTGTCATGCAGCTGTTACAGGAGGCACTATAGACAGCTGCAGTCCACAGGGCCCTGGGCTGGAACCCGGAGTAGAGGGCGGGCCCGGGTTCCCCCCACACCTCCCAATTGACCTGGACTGTGGGTTCTTCCAGAGGGGAAGGTTTCTGGGATGTTCCCCAACCCACATGGTGAATCTCTGAGGCAGGAAAATCTGCCAATAAGCGCAGGACCCACCAAGATAGAGGAGGAACTTTGTCACAATAACTAACTATTAACTATCTACAACTAAGAAAAGGAAACCACTACAAAGGCATTTGCGAGTGCAAGAGATTGAGCTGCTCCAACGACCGTCACTGGTGGTAAGAAGGAACTGAGCAGGCTGCGGGTCGGCAGGGACCTATATACACCTCCATGAAGGCGCTACTCCAGGGGTCTCCACAGCCGACCCGATGGGTACCTCTAGGGAAAAACCTTCCGACGATCATGCACGCGGCGCTCACACACCTATTGGAATGCACATGAGCAATCACTGAAAGAAGGACATACCGCCTCCCGCTGACAGGTCTGAACAGCCTCTGCAACAGCCTGTTAAGGGTTCACTCCCTGTGAATTAATCAGTTAATTAAAAAAAAAATAATGATTAAAAAAATTAATCATGATTAATCAGTTTTAATTGTACTGTTAAACAATAGAATATCAATTTAAATTTATTACATATTTTGGATGTTTTTCTATATTTTCAAATATATTGATTTTAGTTACGACACAGAATACACTGTGTACTGTTCTCATTTTATATTCTTACAGTTCAAGTTGTTTTATCCAGCATGTAGGGGGAATGGGGGGTGCTGGTAAATGAAAAATGCTGGTTAACTAAGAGGGAGGGGGGTTGGGTGCGGGAGGGAGTGCGGGGCTGGGGGATGGGGCACGGGTTCTGGGAGGGATTTTGGGTTCAGGAGGGGGCCCAGGGCAGGCAGTTGGGGCGCGGTATCGGGTGCAGGGTGCCGGATCCAGGGCCACCTCAGGTAGCTCCCCGGAAGCAGCAACTCGTCCCGGCTCATCCTAGGCGGAGTCACGGCAGGCAGGTTGGTGCACTCCCTCCACCTGCAGCTCCCAGTGGCCATGGTTCCCAGCCAATGGGAGCTGTGCAGCTGGCACGGGGGGTGGGCAGAATACAGAGCCACCTGATGCGTCTCCGCTTAGGAGTAGCCAGAGCCCGGGACAGGTCACCGCTTATGGGGAGCCATCCAAGTGAGAGACCCATGGATCTTACACCCTGCACTCGCACCCATGTACCAAGACCCCTCCCACACCCAAAGTCCCTCCCAGAACCTGCAATCCAAACCCCCTTCTGTTCCCCAGCACCCTGCCGGCCCCGCGCCAACCGGACTATAAACCGGAATTTCAATGAAGATCCGAAATGCCAATTTATAGAGATTTCCTGTTGGTGAAGTGCTGGAAAAAAACAATTTTTACTATATTTGCACTGTAAAAATGGTAAAAGAAATAGTATTTTGCAATTCACCTCATACAAGTTCTGTAGTGCAATCTCTTTATTGTGAAAGTGCAACTTACAAATGTTGATTTTTTTTGGTACTTAAATGCACGCAAAAAAACCAACAATGGAAAATTTAGAGGCTAAACATCCTCTCAGTCTTACTTCTTGTTCAGCCAATCGCTCAGACAAACAAGTTTGTTTACATTTACAGGAGATAACGCTGCCTGCTTCTTATTTGCAATGTCACCCAAAAGTGAGAAGAGGCGTTCGACTGGCACTTTTGTAGATGGCACTGCAAGGTATTTATGTGCCAGATATGCTAAACATTTACATGCCCCTACATGCTTCAGCCACCATTCCAGATGACATGCTACCATGCTGATGATGCTCGTTAAAAAAGGGATGTGTTAATTTAATTTGTGACTGAAATCCTTGGGGGAGAATTGCGTATCTCCTGCTATGTATTTTACATGCATTCTGCCATATCTTTCATCTTACAGTAGACTTGGATGATGACTCATCACATGTTGTTCATTTTAAGAACACTTTCACTGCAAATTTCACAAAACGCAAAGAAGGTACCTGTGACTCTCTGTACCTCAGGGAATCACCCAGCTCCCCCATGTTCATCCTTATAAAATGATTGTGTGGTATCCAATACAAAGTTTGTCATGTCGGCTGTCTTTGGAAGGCTCATAATACACTGAGCTTTGTTGTTATAGTGATGTTATAGTAATTGTTGTTGCAGTAATGTTATAGCAATGTTAGAGGTTATAATTTCATGTATAAAGTTATGAGGTTGAAAATGTATCCTCATGCTTTATAATAAGCACAGGCAAAAACTCTCAAGGCATGTATGGGACAAATCCAGCCCAGCCTCACAGGAACAAAGAATGCTGGCCTAGGCAGCATCAAAAGGATCTGTTGGACTCCCCTTCCTAAGGTCAGTTTGGGACTGCAGTGAGGTAATGCTCACCTGACACTAAAGAGGGTGGGGCAAAGCAAAGAAGGAAGAAAAAACATGATGAAAGGGAGAAACGTTTGCCATGCTTTTCCTCTCTCTTCCACCTACATCTATAGACATCACACGAAGCAACTGAAGTACTGATTAAAGGGGAGAGCCTGGCTGAAGAGCAAAAAGCTAGCCGGTGATAAGAAGCATCTAAGTTTCAAAGGGCATTAAAAGTATTAAGATCAGCTTAGAATGTGTTTTGCTTTTATTTCATTTGACAAAATGTGACTTGCTATGTTTGACTTATAACCACTTAAAATCTATCTTCATAGTTAATAATTCAGTTAGTTTGTTCTAGCTGAAACAGTATGTTTGGTATGAAGCGTGTCAGAGACTCCCCTTGGGATAACAAGACTGGTACATATCAATTTCTTTGTTAAATTGATGAACTTAGATAAGCTTGCAGCATCCAGCAGGGATAACTGGATACTGCAAGACAGAGGTTTCTAGGGTTCTGTCTGGGACCCGCGATATTGGCTAGTGTCATTCGGTTGCACAATCCAAGGAGCAGGTTACATGTCAGAGGCTGTGTGTGAAAAGCCCAGGAGTGGGGGTTTGCACAGCAGAGCAGGGTAAGGCTGGCTCCTCGAGTCAGGGATTGGAGTGACCTAGCAGATCAGCAAAGGTAACACCAGAGGGGAACAATACAGTATGAAAGTGAGATTTCTAAAGCTAGGTACAGCACTCGCCCCAAGATTTAAGAATCTGAAGTTGCTTCCAAAATCTGAGAGGGACAAGGTATGGAGCATGCTTTCAGAAGTCTTAAAAGAGCAACACTCCAATGCGGAAACTACAGAACCTGAACCACCAAAAAAGAAAATCAACCTTCCGCTCCTGGCATCTGACTCAGATGATGAAAATGGACATTTGTTGGTCTGCACTGCTTGGATCGTTATCGGGCAGAACCCATCATCAGCATGGACGCATGTTCTCTGGAATGGTAATTGAAGCATGAAGGGACATATGCATTTTTATCACATCTGGCACATAAATACTTTGCTACACCAGCTACAAAAGTGCCATGTGAATGCATGCTCTCACTTTCAGGTAACATTGTTTACCTTTGCAGGAGATAATGCTGCTTGCATCTTGTTTATAAATTTGTCTGTCTGAGAGACTGGATGAACAAGCTGTAGGACAGAGTGGACTTGTAGGATCTAAAATTTTACATTGTTTTATCTTTGATTGTAGTTATTATTTATAAATAATTCTACATTTGTAAGCTCAACTTTCCTGATAAAGAGATTGCACTACAGTACTTGTATGAAGTGAACTGAAAATAATATTTGTTTTGTTGCTTTTTTACAGTGCAAATACGTGTAATCAAAAATAAATATAAAGTGAGCACTGTACAGTTTGAATTCTGTGTTGGAATTGAAATAAATGTATATGAAAATTTAGGAAACATCCCAAAAAATGAAATATATGGTACTCTATTATTGTGTAAAGGTGCAATAAATTATGCGATTAATCAAGTTTATTTTTTTAATCTCACAATTAATCATGATTAACTTTTTAATAACTTCACAGCCCTACTCCCCACCACTACCATGCAGCCACCTGTAGCATGGAACAGGGTAGATGAGAGACAGGGTACAGAAACTGATAAGCCATGTAGGAGAGGAAGTGAGGAAGAACCCTGTTTCCCGTCACAACAGTGGAGCATTTTATAGGTCCAGGGGTAATTAGCTAAGATGTAAATCACCCGGAGTTACATGGACAGGAACCCCACACTTCATAAAGGGATCCTTGAGTGGCTGCACGATCCATTCAACCCCAAATACCACAAAAGGTATGTATGGTTACCCACACCCCATTGTGCTGTAGCCGAGAGAGTCTCTCACAGAGGCACATGTACTGCTCCCTGCAATACAGACACTAAGTGTTGTGCTGGGGCACTGGCCCACCCCTGACTTTGAGGGGAGAGCACCCCCTACTGAGCCCCATCCTGCTCCCTGCAGCACAGGCACATAGAACTGTGGGGGGGAAATGGAGTGAGCACTGATACCATGGGAAAAGCGACACTTACTGTGACCCCGAAACAGCTCCCTACAGTACAGGCCCTTAGCGCCATGCTGGGGCACTGGGGTCAGCGCTGACTCAGACAGGAGAGCTGGGTCTGTGCTGAAAGCTTTCCAGCTTGATCCCTGCACCACCCACAGTGACATGATGGATGCAAGTTACCTGAGCACACAACACCGGCATCTTCTCCATGGTTACAGTTATTCTCTCTCCAAGGCCGAGCCCTGCAGTCGGAGAGGGCAACTTCTGTTCCTGTGCAGTTGACATCATCCAGCCAGATATGATCTAACCCTCGCCCAAATCGAGCCCCTCCTGGGGCTGATAACGCCGTCCCACAGCCCAGCTGCCTGCATATGACTCGAGCATCCTGTAAGTCCCAGCTGTCATCACACACGGTTCCCCACTGCTGGTTGTGAAGCACCTCGACCCTCCCAGCGCAGCGACTCGGGCCGTTCACCAGTTGGATCTGAGCCACTTCTGAGATGCCAGCATCTGCAAACACCCAAGGGAATAAACACTCAGGGAGGTTCCTGTGCATCTGATCTCTCGTGTCGCTTGGGAACGTAGTACCTCTGTCCAGTCTCTGCACAGAGCAACTGCCTTTCAGAGTCTGCCCACCACTGACCAGGCTAATCACTTGGGCAATGTTGAAGTTTGTCCACTGCCCTCCCAGCCAGCTCTCACCTAGCTAGGATGTCACCTAATTAGGCAGACTGGACGGCAGTCTGACCCACTGCTCCCACTACAGCACTTAAAAAGATCACGCCCCGCACTGCTGGCAGGAACCTCCTGGGGAGCAGATTTACACCCTCACTCCTGGTGCTGGTATTCGCTCCAGTGTGATACTGTGCAGTACTGTGGGGCAGATGCTGGGATAAGCATCTTGGTGATTGTGAGCTCAGCACAGTCACCCGTGTCATTAATGGTTGCCTTAGCCTGACATCAGCATCGAATTCCATCGCTCCCTGAAAACATCACCCAGTGTCCATCCCCCTAGAACTGCCCATTCAGAGGCAATGCACACTTCCTTCAAGCAGAATGACTCCCTCCTGAAACAAACACTTGTCCCCGCGGGTCTTCCTGACTTGCCAGGACTGACTTGGTAACATTGCTGCACTCGAGTCTAGTGCTGCCAGCCCAGTAACAGTCTCAGATGAATGATTACATAGCTGGGCTGACACCTGTGTCCTCACAGAGGGGCAGGAACTTTGGGATACAGAGACTGGCGTGCTGATGCATTTTCAGAAGCCCTAACTTGTATCTGCCCATTTACAACCTGGGATGTAGATCTTGGATGAGGGTTAATGGGCCCCTGACTAGACTGGCCAGAGGAATTGCTGCAGTGCAAAAATTTGGCTTAGCCTGATCTTCTCAGTGTGCCTGTGGGGCAGCAATACAGACAGTCACACATGGTGGAGGAGAGCCCCGTTAGAAGTCTGGAACTTGAGAATTCACAGTCAGATGGCAGGGGTGGGAAAACTACGGCCCGCAGGTTGGATCCGACCTGTCTCGGCTTTGGATCTGGTCCATAGGATTACCACCCCTTTGGCGCCATTGGCCCCGCACCACTCCCAGAAGTGGTCGGCACCACGTCCCTGCAGCCCCTTGGGCAGGGTGGGGAACAGATGGCTCCACGCGCTGCCCTCGCCTGTAGCGCCTCATGCCGCACATCGCACGCCTCCTGCTCTCTGAACCCCTGCTCTAAGCCCTGTCACACCCCACACCCTTCCTGCACCCCAACCCCCTACTCTAAGATCCCTCCCACACTCTACACCACCTCCTACACCCCAACCCCCTTCCCTGAGCCACCCAGATTGGCCCTCGGACCAAAAAGTTTGCCCACACCTGAGGTAGAGGTAAGCAAGTTTGGAATGAGCTCTCCCCTGACAGCTAGTGATGATCTGGGGAGGGGAAAAGGCTTCAAGAACACATTCACTCTGCCCAGGTATCCAGCAGACAGAGCTGTGTTGGCTGGTGCTGGGTTACAAATCACTGGAGTACTTCAATGCAGGAGTAGTAAAATGTAGTTGTCGTGAGTAAAAGGCAGCAGAACTGTGCTGAGCCTGCCCTGACTGAGGTGGTCACTCTGAACTGAATGGAACTCACTAACCAGGGGGCTCAGACACCAGACCCCCTATCAAGAATGAGAGGAGGCGGAGAGGGTGTTCCTGCTGAGGTGTGTGCGTACTGTGTAAGAGGTCTAGGCATCATTTAATCTGCCCCTCACCACTCTTCAAAGATAGAGTTAATGAAGGCTCCATTAGGAGTCATTTTGGTTTAAGTGATCACTAGAGTTGAAATCACCTGCTGTGAGTGAGAGTTCCCCTCTAAAAGCTGACAGTCTCTCAGAGCTGGGTGGAGCCTCAAGAGAGAGACCTGTAGAGGTCACAGTAGAGAGGCCGGGGGCAGCAGAAGGTGAGGGTGAGCAGAGTGGTGAGTGGCTGGCAGGGCAGTTGCCACCAGAGCAAGCACCCAGACAGCAGACCAAGCCAGGCGCTCTCCTCCCCGCCCCCATTGTGGGAGCTAAACTCACACAGGTGCACCTCTGAACTCTGGGTCTTCACTAACAAAGGACAATCACTGTGAGTGGGGTGCGGTGGAGAAAGAAGGGACGGGCACCTTAAAGGAAATTTAGTTGCTGGACTCAAGAACCTGAGGCAAAAGACACTGACCAACATTCTCTTGGGGAGGTGTTTTGCTCATGGTTTTATGTTTATAAATCCTGTTTCTGGCATTTTCCCAAGTTAATGTTGGGGCCCTTTCCTCCTTTTATTAATAAGTTCCTTTTCTGCACTGAGATTCTGTGCTTCCAAGAGGGGAAACTTTGCCTCGTAGAAACACCCAGTGGATTTTGTGTAACTGTATCAGGTTATTGGGTGGATGCTCAAGCTGGATCTGTGTTATATTGCTGAAAAGGAACCTCTAGTTATTGACACCGGCCCTGGTCACTTCCAACACCACTGGCAGAAGGGTTACATAGATATCAACTTGTGACATACACAAAAGAAGAAGACTCCTCCCACTGACATGCAGCCACTTCTGGGGTAGGACAGGGCAGCTGAGAAACAGGACAGGGAAATATGTAGGCTGTGTAGTACAGGAAGTGAGGAATAATTGTCTCTCTTGTGTCCAGCTCTTGGGGAAGTTACAATTTCAGGACTAATTCCCTGAAATGCAAATACGCCGGAATACAGTGATTAGGAACCGGACTCTTGAGAAATTGGCCCTGGATTTTTAGTTTGAATGAGCGGCTGCAGACTCCATTGACACCAAATCCAGCCAGTGGACGCTGCAGTTACCCAGGTCCCTATTGTGCCACAGAGGAGTCTGGCCTAGAAATAGACGCCAACTGGCAGAGGGCACAGGAATGCCTAGAGTTATACGGGGATCACCTGGGTGAGCAATATGCACAATAGTTCACCAAAGGTGGGTTGTGAGGTCTCTGCCAAGAGCCAGCAGACTGCTTGTCAAACTAACCGGGGAAGATGTTTGTATGGGACATAGTTGAAGAGAGATGTAAAATGTAGAATATGAGGTGTTGAAGTGAAGCTTGTCACCTGCGCCATGGCAATCCCTTCGGCTGAGCCAATCAGCACATAGAAGAAAGCACAGCCGTGGAGACAGGCTATATTCACTGTCTGGGCCCAGTGGGAGCCTGAGAATTTACAAAGACAGAGGAACCTCAACACAAGTCTCTAAAGAGGGACCTCCTCTGGGAAGAGACAATGGTCTGTGCCTACAAAGAAAGAGGAGAAGGGACAAGAGCTCCCTTTCACCCAGGAGGTGGTTGACAGCGTTTTTCTCAGGAACAGGAGATCACAGCCAAGCCTGGACTAAAACCCGGGAAGAACTGTGGCGTAAGCGTTGCTCTACCAGACAGAAAAGTATCTTGTTCAATGAGGCTAGGCTCTAGTCAGTGTGATATGATTTTATCCCCGAGGTTTTTTCCCCTAGCAGTACCCGTCGGGTAGGCTGTGGAGACCCCTGGAGTGGCACATTCATGGCGGTGTATATAGATCCCAGCAGACCCGCTGCCTGCTCAGTTCCTTCTTGCCGGAATACTCCAACAGAGGGAAGGCAGATGGTTTTGGAATGGACATGAGCAACACATTTTGAAGAACAACAGTTACGAGAGTTAGATAACCGTTTTTCTCTTCAAGTGATTGTTCATGTGCATTCCAATAGGTGACTCCCAAGCAGTTTTCCTTGGGGAGGGGTTGGAGTTCACCTGGTTGAGGAATGCAGGACTGCTCTGCCAAAGGCTGCATCGTCCCTTGCCTGTTGGGTAATGGTGTAGTGTGACGTGAAGGTGTGGACAGAGGACCACATTGCTGCCTTGCATATTTCCTTGATAGGGACCTGTGCCAGGAATGCTGTGGACGATGTCTGCGCTCTCGTAGAGTGCACCATAAGCAAAGGGACTGGAATTTTATTCAGGTCGTAGCAAGTCCTGATACAGGACATGATCCATGATGAAATGCGCTGGGACGAGATCAGAAGCCCCTTCATCCTTTCTGCGATTGCAATAAAGAACTGTGGTGACTTACGAAATCGCTTTGTGTGCTCAGTATAGAATGCTAGGGGATGCCTGACGGCCAGAGAATGGAACATGCACCCTCTGTTACTGAGATGTGGCTTAGGAAAGAACACAGGTAAAAATATGTCCTGGTTCACATGAAACTGGGAGACTACCTTTGGCAGAAACGCAGGGTGAGGGCGTAGCTGCACCTTGTCTTTATAAAAGACCATATAGGGGGGCTCGGAAGTCAGCGCTCAGAGCTGGGATACCCTTATGGCCACCATAAAGGCCACCTTCCAGGAAACGTAGGACAGAGGGCAGGTCGTCATGGGCTTGAAACGGGGCCCCATGAGTGTGGACAGGACCAGGTTGAAGTCCCACTGGGGAATGGGCCATTGTACCTGGGTATAAAGTCTGTCCAAGCCCTTGAGAAACCAGCCCACCATGGGATTGCCGAAGACTGACCTATCAGCTGCCCGCAGGTGGAAGGCCGAAATAGCAGCCAGGTGTACCCTGTGAGATAATATTGCCAACCCCTGCAGCTGGAAGTAAAAGAGGTAGTCCAAAACAAGGGGAATTGGAGCTAGCTGTGGTTCAGTGCTCCTCTGAAGAGACCAGATGGAGAAGAACATCCATTTTGCCAGGTACGTCGCATGAGTGGAGGGTTGCCTACTTCCCAGCAGGACCTCCCTCACTGGGTCCGAACACTGAAGCTCAAGAGGGTTCAGCCATAGAATTTCCATGCCATGAGGTGGAGGAACTCCAGGTTGGGGTGTTGTAGGTGTCTGTGGTCCTGTGTGATGAGGCTCAGGCACACAGGAAGGGCTACTAGTCTGTCCACTGAGAGGTTCATCAGCATGGTGAACCAGTGCTGGCGGGGCCACGCTGGCGCTATGAGGATAATTGAAGCTCTGTCCCAGCAAGTCTTAAGGAGGACTCTGTGTACAGCAGGTGACTTGTCCATGAAAGGTGAAAGGCGTCTGCGATGCAGCCTGGGCTGTGGTTCAGGAA